AGACAGGTGGACGGAGCAGCAGCAGGCAGCGGGTAAGGACCCGTTGGGGGTTTGCTTGTAGGAGGCGGTGGGGGGGTCCCGGGAGGGAGAGCCGGAGCATCCACTGGGGGTAGATGGGTGGACAGGCAGGCGAGCGCGTAGAGCGGGGTGGTCCAGCAACGAAGGCGGAAGGACAGGAAGCGGAGCCAGGCAGGAGACAGGGAACGGCTGTGAGCAGGAGCCGCGTGGAGCCGGACGAGAAGCCAAACCAGACCCTCTTACAGACCAGGAACGAGGATTACTTCGGACCAAGGAACGAGGACGCTTTGACCAGGAACGAGGACTCACTGGAAGCGTAGAACCATCTGGCAGCGCTATCAGGATCCGGCTTCTATTAAACCGCTCCTCCTGATGGATAGATGAGCTCCAGCTGGCCGCTCCTGTCCGACACGCCCTGCAGGAGAGAGGGTAGGAGACAACACACACTCACAGCACCGCTTCGTGGACATGACACACTGAGTGTGAAAGCAAAGCGCTGCAGAGTTACAAATAAAAGTTGTAATAAGTTTCGGGGGTAGGGTGCAGTATGAGTTTCAGCAGAGAAACATAATAATTGGAAGAATGGAAAATGGAGTAAAAATGATAGGGTTCCTGCTCCACTGGGAAATACAACAGTACAGTGTTGTGTTGCCACCCCTAAAAGTGAATCAGGAGAGCTACTTCTAATATACCTTAATACATTCAGTTAATACAGTACTGTCAGTTAAGGAAGTTTTATTCACCTTTAAACATTGGAACGTTTTTTAAAAATAAACATGTTTTGGTTTCTCGTAGTTATCAGATGTAAATTGCCTTTACATTGCATTTCATTTCCACCTGTTAGAGGTAAGCAAACAGATATCATTTTATTTTAGAGAATTAAATGTTATAGTCGACCGCTTTCTATAATGCGCTTCTTAAAGCTATTTAAATTGTTAAGGATTCTTATTTCATAATTTATGAACCCATAATGTTTCTGTGTGACATAATTATTAACCAGGAAATAAACTGCTGTTTCCATAACAACTGCTATAGAAATGTGTTTTTTCTTTCCTTCCTGTCTGAGGTTATGATGAAGAGCCAGGTAGCGCTCCTTTATGTCCTGATCATTATGAGTGAAGGATCAGCCCAAAGCCTGAAACCCCGTCGGAGCGTTTCCTTCTCAGGTGAGCATCTCTGCAGCAGCACTGAAATGCCCAGACCAGTGCAGAAGTATTCAGTCTGTCGACTTTTCCACATTTTGTCATGTTGCAAACACAAACTCTAGTGTTTGATTGTGACTCTGAGTGACAAACTAGCACAAAGAAGTGCATTAAAAAGATGGAAGTAATACGAGTGTAGCATGAAGATGCTGTCTACCCCCTCTTACTCTGATATCTCTAAATAAAATGCAGAGAACTAAACTAAATTCAGAGGTTTATGAAAATGCTCTGATTTCAAAAGTAATCTGAGGATGCCGGTTGGATTCTTTCCCTCAGATGTTAACCTGAAGCTGTTTAAGGAGCCTGACTTTGACGGTTTGAGCTCCATGCTGGTGAGAGAAGACATCGGTCTGCTCTTCATCGGAGCCAGAGGAAAGGTCATCACGCTCAGTTTGGATGACATCACTGAGAAGACCGGCGAGGTAGGAACTGGGTCTGGGTGGTGAAACTTCAATGAAATTAAATGCAAAGAGATACTATGGGGTGGCATTTTGAAAGTTACATGGTAAAAAACTTGATTCAATAATGTGGGTAATTTAACCTGTCAGGACGAAAAAATGAGGATTCATTTTCCTGTCATGTTATTCATTCATTAGTAAATATCACGGTTTCCAAATATTTAATTAGCAAGCTAAGTAGTTTATAAATGACATATTTAGTTAGTTGTGGAGTAAATATGTAGCTTTTAACCAAAGTATTTAGTTTGCTAACTAAATACTTTGATTAAAGCTAAATAATTAGTTAGAAAGCCAAGTAGTACCTAAACTAGTACTAGTGTGTTAGGAAGCAGACTAGTTCCAAATATGTTTAACTCTACGGCAGTAAATATTTAGTTTACGAACTACATATTTAAATATACACAAATAAGTGTAGCTACATAGCTAAATATTTATCTCCGGGCTTAATATTTAGTTTGATACTTATGAAATTTTAGTTTTATGCTAGATGTTTTGATTGACATCTATATATGCAGTTTGATCATGAACTATTTATAAAGTATCGATGTGGTGAAAACATGACTTTGCAAAATTAACCTGCTTTTTTTCCTCTCATGACAAAATAATTAACCCATATTATTGTCATTTATGGTAACACTTTATTTGATGGGGTGTCCATAAGACTTTACCTGACGCTGTCACAAACATGACAGCACCTGTCATCAGGTTGCAACGTTGATACTTTCAATGGACTTTTATTGCACCATTAACGCAAATTTGCATTAAAAGTGTCATTATTTAACGAATAACACTTCATGACAACAGTCAGACATTCATAGACTCCTTTATATTTATGACCGATCTTATGTCATGTTTATGACAGTGTCATGTCAGTCTTATGCACAGCCCGTCAAATAAAGTGTTAGCCAGTTTATTGTTGACTGTGTAACTTTATTAATGGCACCCCATAAGATGCATTTTTTTTACTTTCATATTAAAAAGACACAAAGGAACTTCACAAACATTTCCTGAAAGCCACATGGAGTTCTTGATTGATATCTTTTAGACTAACTGGATGGCAAGCTCTGAAGACAAAATCGAGTGCCAGAGGAAAGGCAAGAGCATCGAGGTACACTACAGCACATTAAAATAAAGAAATTATAAGTTTTTCCCCTCAGTTTTACAGTCTGTTTATAGAAATAGCTGTTCTAACAGGAATGTGACAACTACATCAGGATGATGCACACTCTGGATGATGGCAGAATTCTGGCTTGTGGAACCAAGGCATTCGAACCTACCTGCACACACCTGGTACGTTCCTCCCATACCTAAGGCTGGAGTTGTTGTCCTGTAGTTCCAGAACCATCGGCTGGGCAGTTGCTGTGTAGGAGGAATTTAGTTTATTGCAATAAAACAGGAAAGGATGTAAAAACATGCAGTTGCATGGAAAAATAAGTAGTATCATTTCTAAATCATTATAAATTGATATTTTTACAGATGGTCAACGAAGGACATATCACCATGGAGAACACAACTCACAGTGGGAAAGGGAAAATTCCCTTTGACCCCGAAGAAAATTTTGCCTCCATGATGAATGGTTGGTGCAACACTTTTTATCCCAGGCCTAATGATGTTTCGCTCAGTGTCTCAGTGCTTCCTGGTCTGGATTCATCATGTCTTATGTTCTTGTGTAAATTGGTCTGGACTCCTTATGTCGTGTGTCCTGTGTGGACCGTAACAGTTCTTGACCAAACAGCAGGTGTGCATCGAGAAATGTCATCCTATGAAATGTTTAGTTGTTCTCCTACGTCTCCATGGTCGTACGTTTACTTAGACCTACATGAAATATCAACCAGTGAACCTGCACTGTTTCTACTTCCCAGATTGCATTCTCATCTTGATGCTTCAAAGCCTTAAGAGCAGAAAAAGTTAGCACTGTTTAGATCTATCAGCTTCTGAAAGCCAGAAAGCTACTTTTAAACTTAGCTAGGCTTTTTATTAGTTCACCACAAATTTATCTTTTGGGAAATTATGGGGTGCAGTGTCTAGAGTTACACACAAATAGTAACAATTTCACATAATATTTCATTTTAATTTTTATGGAATTCACTCAATGTTAAGAATGAAAAGGTTTTGTAACGACAAAATGAATGAATGAAAAAGGCAAGAAGAAATATAAACTTATTCCTGTGAAAAGTAAATGAGCTATTCAGCTCAGGAGAGTATAACAGACATACTTCAAATACTCAACAAAACATTTAGCACTGCCGTATCGCTTCAACGTAATGATTTTCAATGATTTGGGTATTTTAGCCTGCCATCTGAGAAAGAAATATGAGTTCAGTTTTTATTCATTAATAAATGCCACAGTTTCACTCTAAAGAGCTACATATTTAGGTTAGCTTGTTAAACTAAATATCCAACTAAACTGCTAACTAAATACTTGACGTGTAGTGAACTTGAAGTTAAATATTTAGCTAGCTCAGATCTAAATGTTTAACAGATATACAAATTCACTTGCCAATAACTGGAAACAGACTAACAAAAAAAATTTGGGTCCTGGGAAACTTTTTACAAATTCCTGCTTTCAAATCGCTACATGTTGCCTCTTTGTCATTGTTTGTTCTTGTCCAAATTTTCAACTTTAAACAAAGGACTAACCATTTTAAAGGCGAAGCAGACATTACAGTGGTTCCCAAACTTTTCCGACCCCCATGGATTACAAATCAAATAGCTGTCTGGTTATGTGTGGGGGGAAGAGGGTTCTTAGAGACTTCCTGTCTCTAAGAACAGGGTGGGGAAATCGACTTCTTTGGGGGCAAAATGAATGTACGTAGCTGAAAATAGACACCAACATCGGTAGCTTACAAGGTACTTGTTAAGCTTAAGG